TATATATATGTGTGAAGAAGGTAAGACCTTTGCTTAACTTGTGTATATACAATCTTTTTTTATCAAATAAACATCTTATAGCGGAATTCATATGTATACTGCAAAGAAAGCATGCCCATGCATTGGGCATCTCCCACTTGGAAATTTATAGGTTAGCATGCACATGCCTTGGGCATCGGAGCACACCCGCTTGAATTTTTATATGTAGGAAATAGGTTCGGACATAAAGAAACCATCTCATAACAAAAAAGAAGAATTAAGTGGATTTAGACATTGGGTATTTGCCTATTCAAATCTGCTCCACGCATGATTTTTTAAGTAGGAGACATTGAAGAAGCCCATTTATAATAAACAAAGAAGAATAAAAATTAAAATGACAACTCCTGCTTACATACATTAATTATCTAACCATGAGGCAATTTAAAAAATTAAAAAAATATATATATAACGAGAAGTAAGACCTTTGGTTAAGTTGTAGATATGCATTTTTTTAAAAAAAATATACATCTTATAAGATGAAAATGAGTTGTTCTTGTCGATCTACGGTGAAAATTATCTATACATCCAATTTTCTCAAAGTCAACGGCTTGGCTAGGTCTTTTGATGAGTTCGCCTCTTGTTGGGGTAGCATTAATGTCCAGTGAATATTCCATGGATGCAAGTTGACTATGATTGCTCCAAACAAATATGGTATAAAAACTAAAAATACAGGCAATTATAGTTCATAAAATCGAACCGGAACAATTAATAGAACAGGGGCCAGAAGCGGTTTAATTGGTAAACTGGCCAATTCAACCGTTCTAACGGGGCAAGTTTCGGGCAGTCAAAAAATTGATAAAATAAAAATAAAAAAAATAAAAAAAAATAAATCTACTAAAATATGAATAGCATATAGATAATGATTAAAACAAAACAAATTCAAATAGAGTTGAAAATTAATGAAAAAAATGAATTTTAAAGAATTGATTTGTGTCTAGCGGTATTTTTAAAATTTTCTAAAAAAGATGAGAAAATAGAAAAGTGAATATTAATGATCAAAACAATTTTTAATCTTTACCATAATGTAAATAACGTTAAAAAATATATTATAAACCGAATTCCTTATTTTTTGGATTTTATATACATTTTTTTTAAAAAAAATACCAGTCGATCACCAAACCACCCGAAACCAGAAACGTCAAGGGGCCGGTTCCGATCAAATGGGTGGTTACCGGTTAGATCGCCCGATTTTTCTAACATTGGGGGCAATGCAAATTATGAGCTATATAACATATAGATGCCTATAGTCTTGTTAATTGTAACGAGTGTTTTAAAATCCTCCATATCGGATTGCTAGATCGGAGTTTCAGATTGGGTTTGAACCAATCCAAATCGGTGATTTAGAAAAAAACATTAAAAATAAATAAAATAAAGTAGAAATTAAAATAGAGATTAATGGGGTAAGAAAAAATATATAAGGGTGGCTTTAGGAGGACAACTGGCCAAGACCCATACCAACGCTGAACCAGTTTTGCCCCGACTGATTCCCATCCAAATTGGGTCCGCATCAGAAATACTAAAAGTATGCAATTAAAGTATGGACGAACGGTCAGAAGTCTCCTCTCCGTCTGCACCAAATATTTGATTGGACCATGGTGATACTAATGACAGTTCTCTCCTTGTAATCGTATAGATCACAGTGTTGTTTAATGACCATCCAAAATAAATTAACTCTACCATCCATAAGGGGGGGGGCTGGGTTCCTCTCAGTAGGATAAAACCTTCTGAATAGGCATTGAATTTTTCCTGGGGTGACATAATTTTCTTTACATTGTACTCGGGAAAAGCTCTGATGCATTTTGGCCTCCGAACAGTACAGCCACAAAAACGAAAACATTGCAAGTACGATCGCCTGTTTTAATATTCTTACCCCATAATCAACAACATCCTTTGAAAATAATGGATGGTGATGAAAAGCAAATAGGACCCATCAGAACAAGAAATAACTCGTGCATGATGGCAATGGGCCGGGCGACCCAGCCTAGCGCCATCAGCTCGGCTCAGTCAGCCCAGGCCCTAAAAAACTAGGACCAGGGCCACAAAATGTGGCCCGAGGTTCAGGACACTACAGCTCTAGGCCAAGGCCGGGCCTGGCTTGGGCCAGGGTCGTCCTAGTTCGTTCTTACTTTTAATCTTTTAATTTTTCTTTCATACATTTGGCCCTGCCTAGCCCTAATAGGTTCTAGGCTATTTTTCTTTCATATATTTGGCCCTGCCCAGCCCTAATAGGGCCTAGGCTAAGGCCTCTTTCGCCTGGGCCAGGGTTAAGGCCAATGTTGTCCCTACCTAGGCTTGGCTTGATGCCAGCCCTACTCCTATTGGAGGTCCCACTCTTTCAACATTCAACATATTGTTATGATTTTACTGAACATGCGCTCTATTTTAGTAATTGGTTTTCTTATTTGTATTCATGCCATTTTCAGTATCGAAAATCTCTGTGATGACCTGAAAATTTGTTTTAATCTCTAATTATAAAATTTAAAGCTTCAAAAGTAGTGCAGATCAAACAGATCTACGAATATTTGAAAATCTTTAAAACTGATGGTCTATATAATGGATTACATGATACACTATTTTCAAGACTTGAAGTCCACATTTTTCTAAATCCATGTATCTCAAGGTCGAGATAATCATATTTGAGGGTTTTTCGGCATCGAAACAACTCTTTCTAGTGAACTTTTGAAGTGCGCCTTAGTTTTATTGTTTAGGGCCTCAACCTTATATAAACTTTTTCCTTTTATTTAACATGCATCAACCTTATATAAACTTTTTTCCTTTTATTTAACATGCATCTAGTTTATTGATGTACACTACAATAGTCCCATTAGGACAGTTAAAACCCTATTACCTTATGTAAACTTTTTCCTTTTATTTAAGATGCATCAAGTTTCTTGATGACACTACAATAGTCCCACTAGGACAGTTAAACCTATTAGGTGGATAGACTGTAGGACTCTGATTTTGTTTAATATTGTGATGCTAGGTTAACATGTTTGATAAAGCTTTTCCAAGAACTAAAATTGTTGTCCTCCTTAAAAAGCACCATATAAAAGTTGAATTTGGAGCTTGGTTGAGATTATTATTGCTAACATTTGAAAAAGCAAAAAACGGTTGGGTTAATGAGACCTGTTAGAGCATAGTGTGTGGGTAAAATGATTCATGTTGGCTGAGTGCTTGACCAATGCCTAGCCTGCCTAAATGTTTTTGTTTTTACAAAATTTGCCAAGAATTGAAACAATGTTAACAGTTCAATTTCAGCTTAACAATAGGCTCACCAAAGTTAGTAATTCTTATTAAAAACAACCTGCACGGTGAAAGGATTCAGCACAACGATAGGAATGCAAGTTCTTCTTTGCTAGTTTCCGAAAGCCCAAGTGGCAGGCATTAGGCATGGTTCGCTAAAGTTTAACAAAATTCACACGTATATTCTTTTTTTGTCTGCTTTTTTTTTTGGGGGGCGGGGGGGTTGTAGTTCAGTCATATGAATCAAACTTGAGATGTAGCGTTAGGTCAGCCTTTGTCTGATAAACAGGTGGAACATTACTTGGAACTTTGTTTTCAATGAATAAAAGACAAGACCTCATTATAAGGAATCATAATCGATCGTATAAAAAACCTTTTTACATTGACAATTCATATGTACACAGGGAGAAGGCAAAAACGGTTACCATTTGAGATCTGATTCGTATCACATTGGGACGCATATCAGGATATATTAGGCATTAGATGCCTTGTAATAATACGGCTGGCTAAGATTATCAATTGCATGTATCAGTTTTCTCCTTGGTCCAACAGCATTTGCACCCATGTCTTTTAGCTTGGCCATGGTTAACTCCAACAACTGAATCCCATCAATCTTTTGTGTGTGGAACAGCTCAACAAACCGGTCCAAGCCCAGTGATGAAAGCCATTTGCTCATACCCCCAGCCCTTTCAAGCTTCCTTTCAATGTTCTGCACTCGCCTACTCTGGTTGTCCAAAGCACCTATATTGATGAAGTCTGGACCCCCACTAACTTCTCTGCGCTCATAAATGCATGGGCAAGAACCAGGAAACCCATGATTCACTGATTTTGGTAGAGTGCTTTCTTTTCGCAATCCTATAATATTCTTCTGTGATCTAGGATTCCAACATTTTACTTCTGAAACCAAGGCATCACCATTGCGGAGCTTAAGATGTGGAGAAGGTGGTATACTTTCACCAATACCTATCCTCCTATTTGCTTCTTGTGTTATTCTCCTTACTTTGGCTGATCCACCTGTCAATAATGGCTGCTTTGCTGAGGGATTAATTGATGCTTCTCTAATGTGGATTTCAGAAGACTTTGTTTGCTCATTTCTAAGCGATTTTGCCCCTTCCAAATAACCCACCTTGGATTTCTTCTCTTTAATGCTAAGATCCTTTTTTACATGTTTGCTTGCAGTTTTGGGTCTATTCTTAGCAGTTCTCGATCTGGCTCTTGTGATCTTGTTTCTTGAGGCTTGAGGAGGTGGTTTTGCACTTACTGGTAAAGGGGGAAGCAAAATTGTGATTCTTTGTTTTTTTACTTTAACCCAATCATTCTCTTCTTCTGACTCTGCATTGAGTTCTGAGTTTTGAGGCTGCAACCCCTTCGACACTGTGGTGTGGTTTGGAGCAATTGCCCCTAGCTTTTTGCGCTTCGGTTTAACCATTTAAATGAAGTATAGATTAACACTGCATGAGTGGAGTTTCCGAACGCTCCAAGCAAGGAACATGCAGAGAGATTGCAGCATAGAAATAGGAATGTGCAGAGATTAGTTGCACTTTACATTCCTCCTGGAAGTGAATAGAAGGTAGATAGGTTATTCACATTAGAAAGAAGTCCAAGAGCCCAAATAACTATCAGAGAGCAGACATTGATGATCAAAAATAAATTATAGAGCAGTAATTGCATCAAAGCATTTTCTCCAGGAGCTTATACTACCTAAGATACACCTTTTCATACAAAATGGCAAGGACATTTGGGGCATGGAGATAATGGAGTGTAGCTACAGTGGCTGTTTCAATTTGCTTGGTTCCTGTAGTCTGTAATTCATAGAGACAAAAATCATGGATACTATAATCAATCAGCAACCTCGTGCTTCCCACATTTTACCAGCTGGCTAACAGCAGAGCCACAACAGGGGCCACAAGTTATAAATACAAGTACGAATATGAGATCCATAACTCGTAGGAGCTTAGACACATAACCTCTGATCCATCCTGCACATATGACTACAATATGTATACATCTCATCTCTATACACACACATACACAGACATAGAGAGAGATAGAGTGGTTAAAAATATAGTAATCAAGTAGATAAGTGATGAAGAATAAGAGAGATTTTAGGAAGTGAGAAAGCTATAGAGATATAGGGGTGAGTAGAGAGAGAGAGAGAGAGAGAGAGAGAGAGAGAGAGAGAGAG